TTCACTTACTCAATCCTTGCATTCTACAGAGAAGACAGGCCTAGGCTTGGTCACACAGGAAGTGGCAGACCCAGGAGAACATTGTTCTGGGACTCTTCCTATTCCTGTAGTGGGAATCCTCCGTGTCAAAGGCCCCCTTGGGTCTCAGTGTCTGGCAGCTGCCTATAGGTAGACTTCAGGGCTGTACCCACGAAGAAAGTGCCCCTAGCTCCTCAGTGGACAGATGTCAGGTAGGAAAGGCCTCACACCCACCAGGGACATCTGCAGCTCCTACAGAGGGCTTCAGGTCTTTCCAGAGAGCAGGCCCCACTGTCCACCTCCTGGAGTCACCTCCACCACCACCTATCAGTCACACTCACCAGGGCAAGTACCCTCTTTTCAGTCTCTTGAAATCTGGGGCAGAAAAGCAAAAGGCCAGTGGGCAACAGCAGAGGAGGCCAGGAGTGCCCACTCCCTGTGAATCTGCTTGTGCTCCAAGATCTGGGCTCTGGGGCCATGGCCAAGCTGCAGCTCCCAACTTGGGTCATTGTCATGCCAGGGTATGTCTTGGAGAAGACCTACCCCACAAATCTCCATCAGCCCTTCCAATTGTTTGAGATTCTTTATATCTTTTAAAAAGAGTTATGTAAATGCTACTTCAGGCTACAACCCACACACATGCACACCCCCCTGCAACCAGGTTCCATCGCCTTGACTTCTGCCTATAGACTTTTCCTGAGGGCTTCGGCAGCCCTTGGCCAAGCTGCTTCTCTTGGCTTAACCAGGAGTCCACCTGGGTCAGATTTTCTCTCAGCGCACATATCTCTTCTACTATCAACCATGTCAGGCAGAGTTTGGCCCATGGCAGAGGGCAGCGCTGCAGCCCCCCAGCCACCCCCAACTTCTGTGCCATCTAACCGCCATCCCCGGTTCTCAAAGGACTTAGACAGCCACACCAAACCCTGCCCTTTGGGACCACTGGAACCTTTTTCAGCCGCTGACCCCACCATCAGAGATCCTACCCCAGGGCCCCTCCTTTTTGGATCCTATCTCTTGCTAATAGAGTTTTCCCCTGGGGTCATCTTTTCTTCCCAGAGGACGACAAGCCAGAGTTCCCATAAGTGGACTCCATTTTAGGGGGAGGGGGTGGTGGGAGAAGTGTTCCTCTTTCAGTGATAGAGTACAGTGCCAACAATATGGAATCCTATTTCTCTCCTGCTTGATACTCCCTGCTCAACTCTTTTCTGGCTCTACTCCCAGCCTATGTCCCTGTGTCCCTAAGTATCAGGCCTGGGCAGTCTCTTCTTCCATCTGCCCCCAGCCGAGGGAGTTCATCCAAAGCCCCATCCCCAACCATCCTGGTCGTGCAGACACTTAAAGAGGAGAACTCAATACCAGCTCTGAGCAAGAGGCCTCTGCACAAGGGGCTGTTTGGGTGGGCAGAGGGCTGACCTCATTACATTTGAGTGCAGCTGATGCCTCCTGGGGCCCTTTCATTCTCTCCTTCTGGAGAGAATTTGGACTCCTCTTCCATTACCACCACTGAAAGTCCTTGGGAAAACCCCAAGAAATTGGACCAAGCTAGTCTGCTGTTCCCCCTGGTGCTCAGCCTGCTTGCTAGACTGTTCTTCCCTATCCCAACTGTCTCATTCATCTACAGAAGCCCAGGACATTGAGGACTGGGGGCAAGGGAAGATTGTAGGAAGGTAGACCCTCTCTCCTTCATCACATTGCCTGGCTGTCCTGAGATTAGAAAGTAGCTGAAGACGTCTGCCTCCTCGATGTTTCCTTTCTTTCCTCCTTTTCCCTAGGCATAGCTAGTTACGTTCCTGTTATCTAAATAGACCGAGTAGGCTGTGTAATTATATTCCTCTTTTTATGTAAGCCACAGTGAAGACTTCAGGCAAATCCCAATCACCACCTTCTTCACCATTTGCTCAAAAAATAGCTCCTGAGCCCCGATTAGGTGCCAGGCGTTGTTTCAAACATCACCTCCTCAGCCTGGTCTTCTCCTTATGCCATCCAATTGCCTAGAAAGTCATGCATCCTTGGATTGTTCCTTTAACTTAAGGAAAAATAAAGATTTTCCAATATAACTTTGTTATAGTGGGTTAACAGGGACTGCTTTTGAAGCTGTTCACCTAGTGCTAGCAGAATCAGAAACCATTTTTAAAGGGTTGATCTTTACTCATACTTTAAAAACAGATGCTACCAACTGTAAAAGCAAAAGATCTTCCTAAGTGGCTAATGGGGGGGGGGGGGGGGGGGGGGGGGGGGGGGAGGAGAAATAGATGCCATACAGTCCAAGCTAACAGCCCCCTGCTTTCTAGCTAATGAAAGTCAAGTCAGGAAGCGGGTTTAGAAATGCACGGAGAATGGGTGGAAATTGGGATGCAAAGAGATCTTTGTAGAGAGGGAGATGGGCTTGATGGGATTTGTTGATGAGAACTTTTGCAACTGAATTTGATTTAGAAATCACGTGTGTGTGCTCTACAAATCCACACAGAACATCCATTCTGTTAGTTGCAATAGTTAAAATCACACATTTTCACACTGATGGCAACTCTAGCGGGCTATAGAAGGATGTTGGGATCAATTCTCTTTTTGCTTACTCTCTTGGTGGAAGCTGGGGGCATCTTTCTCACCCCCACCTCCCCAAGCGTAGACTTTCACATTCTCGGGGAAAGCAGCGCTCAGGCCCAAGCCCCTTTTCTTGGCTTTCTCAGCAAGAGTGCACGCTCCCTCCTCCTCCCTTAGGCTCTCCCTCTGGTGGGAGTGGTAGTGGAGAGGGTTGGGGGGATAGGATCCCACCCAGCTTTGGGCCCCCAGGACTGTGAGCCCTGAGCCCTGTGGTTGGGGGCACTGTGGGACTGGGGACATCTGACTTCCTGGGCTCTGGTTCCTTAGAGCCTCATTTGCTTCCTCACACCCTGTCCCCTTCACACCAGGGCTGTTTTATTGTTTTATAACCTTCTTTAGAGCTTCAGTTGCCAAAGATTCCGATGGGGCTATTTTCCACTTTCTCACTTTACCAAACCCTAAGTCTTGCTGTTTTAAGCAGTTTGGTCACTTGCAAAGACTTCCCTTTCAGATCTAAGCAAATTATAGAAAGCTCTAGGCAAGGGGCTACCTTCAGCTTTCGCTGAGCCCATCTACAACAATACAGAGCCAAGTGTTAACTCCAACAGCCAACCCACCCCCAAGCCCACCCAGCCTCTCCCTAACCACCCTTTTTCTATTGGAGCTTGAACAAAATCTCAAATAACTTCTAGTATAAGCAAGTAAGAAGTAGCCTTTGACTTTCCTCTTTATTTATTTACCACATCTAGAGCTAGAAAATGATTGAAATAAAGGAGTTGATGGTACTCACAGAGAATGCAGCCAAAGAACCATAAGACATGCCCACCAACCAGCTTTTTCCAAATTGTACTATCTCCCAACTTAAACAGACGGCTCTGAAAAGATGCTATATGAAAAGCACGGGGTATTGATATGAATCTGATACCCCTTGCATCCTGGATATTTGGAACTATTTAAATGTGAGGGAACAGTTGCAGTGAACCTTTATTTAGTGAATAAAAGTTTAAAGCCAAAGGTTATTTATGGTTCTGCAGAGATGGGACCTGAGTGGCTATTTATGAGCACGTGATTCCAATAAACTTTGTTTTATGGCTTGAGAGTTGACAAGCCAAAATATAATTCCCACCATAAATTAGGTTAAGAGCATACAAGTGCAGATGCTTGGTTCCTGGAGCAGCGATAGGAATGGGAGAGGCTCCAGCTAGCACCGAGCTCAGAAGGAGACAGTTCTCCTCCCAGCTCCCCTGCCCGCTAGGAGAGAAAGCCAGTAAGTCACTTATTACTTTTTCCACGACAACTCCAGGGGTGGGGGATTTCTCTGCCTCCTCTTGGTCTTGTCTGCCTGGGGTGGAGAAAAGTCCCATCGAAGTTAATTCTAATTTTAGCCTAAACCCAAATTAACAAATGGAATGAGAATTCTGGTTTTCTCCCCTCTCTCCGGGCATAGAAAGTTAGGAATTGAGGGCTCCCACTTTACAAGAGGGACTTACTGTCTCTCCCCTCCCCATAATGGAGCATCTGCTTCCGAAGTGGGATGAAACTGTGGTAGTCTAGGTGGAGAGAGAGAGAGAAAGGATGAGGATGGAGATGGCTTTGCCTCTGAGATTTCTCAGAGAAGCCTACCATCCTAGAATAAAACTAGAGGAGATAGAAAACTTAAAGCAGGACCCCGGCGCCTGTGAGGACCGCTGCTTTGTAAGATTGCTTTGTGGGTTCTCCAGCAGCAATGCTGACAAAATGATGTCATATCCATAGAGCTGGATAACATTCTAAAGCATTGCCAATTACCTTTAAACCCATCGATTTTCCTCCTCCTTGGTTATCATTTGGGTCCTCATTTCCCTTGGAAATTGCTCTTTGTTTTGAATTGGAGAAGAAGTGGGAAGGCAAGTCCCAGCCATGCGTGGTCCTTCTTTGGGAAGAAGACAGGTTTTGGGAGTGCTGGTTGGGGCTGGGGAATTTGAAACCGATCTGAACCTGGAAAAGGGGGCTGAATTGCTCCCAGCGCAAGACTGACGGGGAGCTGGGGCGGGAGACAGATGCAGCGGCTGCCCCCTCCCCAGTGGACCTGAGCCCACCCGGCCGATTGTGCAGAAGGAAACACACAAAGGCCTATTTTCTCCTCGCTTCCCGTTTTCCCACTGGGGAAACCCTGTTACAGGCAGCCTGAGTCGGGCCAAGCAACCAGTAAGGTTTTGCCCAAGGATGCATGGAGTGGGGGAGGTGGTAGGGGCCATACTCTCCTACTCCGTGGGTCTGCCCTTGAAGACTGCGGTCTCTCGCTCCGCGGAGAACTTGGCGCAGTTCCTGGGGGCGGGCACCCGAAGCAAGGAGGTCTGGGTATTGGTGGGGTGTCTGGGCCTTGTCATTTTTCTGTGTATCATCTATCTCTGCTTTATTATCCTGTGGAATTTGAGTGACCCTCGTTTTCATTGCAACAGGTTCGGGACCATGAGACACCGCCGCTGTAAGTACCTTCCCGTTTCTTCCGAATCGCGAAGAGGCGGTACCGATAGCTGGAGAGGTGGTGGGCGAGGGCCACGCTAGGGGGTGGGTGGAAGGGAGAACGGCCCTGCCTCCCCTGGCCTGGCGATACGAGGGGAGCTCCCTTGGAGGTGGCGGCTCTTAAGTTGAGCTCCCAGAAAATTTTTCTGGGGCCTAGCTCACAGTCACCTAACCAAGGGAACGCCGCGAGCTCTCGACCTTGTCCCCTTGGGCCTCCCTGGAACCTTCCGGGCCTTTCCAGGCCTCCCCAGCTCGCACAGGTGCAGTTCTGCCGCAGTGTACGCTTCTGTTAAGAGCTTGCAGCTAATTAGCAGCCCGCCCTATTAACACGTTGCGGCGAGCGTTGCCTTCTGCTCGAACCAACCTGCTAAACACCAAGGCAACGGGATCCCCCTCCGCAGCCCAGCCCAGCCCAGCTTAACCCGGTCTAGCCTAGGCCAATCTTCTCTTGTTTTTAATGAAAAGAAGGGGAAAAAAACAAAAACAAAAAACAACCCTCTATGGCTACGGGTGTTTTCAGTTGGCCCTCTTCCGGGAAGGGCTGTGAATTCTGAGCTTTACGTGGAAGTCCCTCCTCGCCCCTCCCCCGGCCCCAGCCCCCGTCGTTTGGGCTCTGGGTTGGGGACACCGGCTGAATGAGGAGCATTCACCTCTGCTTCTCAGTAATTACAATTCGAGAATTTCCCGCACCAGAGCAGCTGGTATTGCAGGCAAACTTGGGGGGTGGGAGGGTTGCGGTGGGGGCATAGATTTTTGGGGTCCTGGACTCGGAAGTTTGGATCTGAGTTGTATGTGCCGCGGACAGGTACATTTCTGAGGAGGCCCGTGAAGCCTCCAGGAAGAAGATTTCACTAAGATGATGGTACGGCCCCTCCCTCACTGCAAAACGGAGATGATTTTATTTTAATGGAAGATGGAGTATGCGAGAGCGGTGGGAACCAGGCACCCTCCCTCTCTGGTGAGACGCCCTCTTTCCAGGGTCAGAGAAGCTGGGACTTGGCCCTGGGCCAGGTTTCTTTGCCCTCCAGGCTGGGCAACCTGGTTGATTCCCTGGGGCCTGGGCTCACCCCTAGAAGTGGAGATTCTGCCCACTACATGGTTCCCCTCTAGGAATCAGGCTGGCTCAAGTGAAACGGGCTCTGAGCTCCAGGCTAGAAAACCTGGTGTCGCCAGGACACCCTGGTCTTGCCCCCCTTCCTGTCCATGCCTGGCTCTGGGTGCTTATCTCTGCCTGCGCTCCTCCCTTGCAAACCCACACTCGGCACCCTGTAGCTGAACACAGCACAAAAAGATCGAGAGATCAAAAGCATTTGTATGGGCAGTCGAGCGGGAGGTGAATATTTAACGCTTTTGTTCATCAATAACTCGTTGGCTTTGACCTGTCTGAACAAGTGGAGCAATAAGGTGAAATGCAGGTCACAGAGTCTAACAAATATGAAAATGTGTACCCTCACCCGGGTCCCCACCTGGCCCAGCAGGCTCCCCCAATTTGTCTGGATAAAGCCCAGGCCCAGTGTCCCCAGGAAGGCTGGTGTATGGGAGCACTTGGCATTAGGGGAATTTGAGGTGAACCCCCTTGGGGCAAGGGAATTGGGCATGGGGCAGCCTCGGAGCTCTTGTTAGAATTGGCACCCAGGAAATCCCTACAAAAGAGCCAAAGCACTGGAACCAAAGGATAGGGGGGAGGGGTGTGCAAGTGCAAAGTGCGGAGTAGAAGCAGGCAGCCAATTTTGCCAGGCTCTGGGCAGAGGGGATGGATGCTCCCCTCTCCACCCCACCAGGCCCAGGCTGAGGCTTGAAACTGATTTTTGAATCATGAGGGGAAAATCAAAACAATCAAAAAAAATTTTCAACACCTCTGGCCTATGCTCAGGGATCCAAAAGCCCCACTGAAGCCCGGGCATCCCTCTGCCCCCAAACTCCATCCTGGCCCTGAGTGCCTCTGTGCTCTTGGTGCCCTGAACCAAGGGGTGAGCCCCAGATGGCGCAGAGGCGCTGGCGGGGGCGCAATTCGTGAACTTTTGTACTCTTGTGTGCTGCTGTCGGCAAAGCAAAAATAATGAAACTTTGTGATATGTTTGTAAATGATTTCGAATGACCCCTCGCCCTGCCCTTCACCATTAGTGCGCTGGCCCTGGCCCAGGGCAGCTGGATGCCTGCAAGCAGCGCCTGCCGTGGGGTCTGCAGCAGCAGCGGACAGGACGGAGAGGCCAGCCGGGCTCAGGGCCCAGGAAGGTAAATGCGCAACTTCTGGGAGAACTAGCTTCGGTAACCATCCTGGCTTGCCTCGGCAGTGGGAAAAAGAATGGGCAGAGGATATTCCCCTCTTGCCTCTTTTTCTTCTGCCACTGAGGGATTTGCTCCTTTCTGGAAAATACCACTTGATAAGGGAGGGGGGGAGAATATTTGGATCTGGGGAGGGGGGTAATAAAGCCGCCATTTCTGGGATGGATTATTTTTTTCTCTTCTTTCTCTCTTAAGAAGACTCTCCTGGCTCCTTGGCTGCTCGGTAACCTCAGCCCCAGTACAAGGATGGGGAACTCGTTGCTGCAAATTGCCACCAAGTCCTTCAGGCCACCTGAACCGTCTCTGAGAGTGCGGGTGGCTGAGTCCGTGCGGTGGCCGCTCCGAGGAAGAGACCGAGGCTGGCAGCAGTCTGGGTACCTGCTCTGGGTGGAACCCGGAGGTAGTAACGTTGTCTATATATACCCTGTAGAACCGAATTTGTGTGGTATCCACATAGTCACAGATTCGATTCTAGGGGAATATATGGTCGATGCAAAAACTTCACGTTTCTCCAAAACAGCCAGAGTGGGAAGTGGAGGCCAGAGGCAGCCGGCGCGGGTCAGTCTTCTCTTTCTGTTTTATTACCTTGGACTCCAGGAGGATCGACGGAGCCTGGTGGCAGAGAGCAGCCTTTCCCTGGAGAAGACCCTCACCTTTAAACAGAGGCTCTTGTGTAAACCCTTAATTGGTTGTATGAATGCAGGGCCAAAGGGCTAGATTTTGGGAGACTCGGGACTGAGGTGGGAGGCCAGGTAGCACCCCAGCTCTGCCCTCCAGCTTGAGGTTGGAGGGTGTCCAATGCGGGGGCTCACTGGCCGTTGACTGCCCTGTGCGAGGAAGGGGAGCCGGGAAGAAGGCGTGCAGGGTCCTTCGGGGCCCATTTGGGTGAGATGGCGGTGCCCCCACGGCATTCCTGGCCCACTCCTCAGTTGCACAGGCAGGGCCAGCAGGGCCTCTTGCCATCGCGGCAGAGCCCGACTCTGACTAGAAACACCCCGGCCTGGGCACTCGCAGAAAGCTTGGCGATTACTCATTGCCTAATTTGGTTCACGCCAGCCAGATTGTGGTAACTTTTGGGTGACCCTGATGAAGACAAAGCCGGGACTCGTCCTTTGTATGGCAGAGTCCCCGTTCCCGCGGGCTGGGCAGGCGGGAACCTGTCTGCCTGGGGTCCTCTGCCCAACTCACAGGCCGCCTCACTCACTCGCCTTTGGAGCCCTGCACCTGGACAGATACCGGGATTCAGTCCCCTTTGAACTGTGCCTGCTTTGGGGGGCTGCTTTCAGGCGGGGTGAGTAGAGAGGGCACTCCAGGTTAGCGAACTCAGTGGCGGACAAAAGCTGGGGTTACCTGCACCGAATGAGGGTGCTGGGGATTAGAACTAACATTCACATCTGGCGGGGGCCCTCAAATGTGCCATGGCGAGTCACTCGATTACACGTATGTTATTTAGTTAAATTTGTGAAAATTATGAGATGCTCACCAACCCGGTGATAAACTCGCTCCCTTGCTATTGGCTGGACTGGTCACATGGCCACCAACTTTATTCAGTTGACAGCAAGTAGGAGGGCCCTATGGAAGGAGAAAAAAAGACAACACGAGAAAAATTAGTATTTTCTACCTTCTGAAATTAATGGCCATGAGTTCGTATTTGGTGAACTCCAAGTATGTGGACCCCAAGTTCCCTCCGTGCGAGGAATATCTGCAGGGCGGCTACCTAGGCGAGCAGGGCGCCGACTACTACGGCGGCGGCGCGCAGGGTGCCGACTTCCAGCCCCCGGGGCTCTACCCGCGGCCCGACTTCGGTGAGCAGACCTTCGGAGGCGGCGGCCCCGGGCCCGGATCGGCGCTGCCCACGCGGGGTCACGGGCCAGAACCCAGCGGCCCCAGCGGCCACTACGGCGCCCCAGGAGAGCCGTGCCCCGCGCCCCCCGCACCCCCGCCCGCGCCCCTGCCCGGCGCCCGGGCCTGCAGCCAGCCGGGCGGCCCCAAGCAGCCGCCCCCCGGGACGGCCCTCAAGCAGCCGGCCGTGGTCTACCCATGGATGAAGAAGGTGCACGTGAATTCGGGTAAGGCACCGGCCCAGCGACCGCTCAGTCCCCACCCCAGCCCGGTGGCCCGGGCCCGGGAGGGGTTGCGAGTGGGTGGGGGCGAGTGGGGCTTCAATGGGCGCCGCAATTACTCTCTCCATAAATTTTTATAGCCGAGGGAGCAGGCCGGGACCATGTGGCTGGCTGCTTGGCTGTGGGCGCAAAAGGGGGTGGAGATGGGGGGGGGGTGGGGGAGGACTCCATTTTCAGAGCGGAGGGAACCTGGTGGAGGAGAGGCGGCTTTCCAAAATGCTTGGGAATTCCGGGGCTGGCGGTGGGCCGGGGAGATAGGAGCGCCTTTTGGGATCCCCGCCTGCCGGCCAGCCTTGGGAAGTGGGTGGGGGTGCGGGGGTGGGTGGGAGGAAGCTTGTGCGCCAGGGAGAGGGCGGGAGGGAGGAAGAGAGCGGGCTGGGGAGCGCGGGGAGGGCGCGGGCCTCGGGGCGCGCCAGGAAGTGAGCGCGGTGGCGAGGGGCCTAGCTAGTGGCCGCGCGCTGACCTGACTGTGCTGTGTTTTGTCTCGCAGTGAACCCCAACTACACCGGCGGGGAGCCCAAGCGGTCTCGGACGGCCTACACCCGGCAGCAAGTCCTAGAACTGGAAAAAGAATTTCATTTTAACAGGTATCTGACTCGGCGCCGTCGGATTGAAATCGCTCACACCCTGTGTCTGTCGGAGCGCCAGATCAAGATCTGGTTCCAGAACCGGAGGATGAAGTGGAAAAAAGACCACAAGCTGCCCAACACCAAAGGCAGGTCCTCATCGTCGTCTTCGTCCTCCTCCTCCTCCTGCTCCTCAGCTGCCCCTGGCCAGCATTTGCAGCCGCTGGCCAAGGACCACCACACGGACCTGACGACCTTATAGAAGTGGGGACCCTGGGCCCATTCCTCCCTGCGCTCCCGGCTGAGCCGAAGCTGCGGGGGCAGGCCGGGCCTGCTGTCACCTCGCTGGGCTCTAAGGTACTGTGGGGTGGACCTGGGACACGCAGGCCGCCCTCGGACTAGGTTAGCATCCTGCCCGAGGGCAGCCCCCTCCCTGGAGCGGGGATGGGGGTGGGAGGGGGGCGGGATTCTCTCTCTAAGTATATTATCATATGGCAGGAGCTACTGAGAACACAAAACCTTGGCGAGTCATTAAATTCATGAAAATCTCTGCTGTTGGATTTTGAATTTGCAATTGAAGGTTGGATGCTTTATCCCAGTGTGAATTTGAACATCCTCCCTCACTCCACCCCTCCAGGGATCTTTGTGGTTTAATAATGTGGGGGAGTTGAGGCAGAAGGTTGGCCACCCTTGTGCTAGGTGCTTTCAGTGGAAGCAGGAGAGCTGGGCCAGGATTTCTGAACTTTCTGGATTGTCTCTATAGTTTCCCGTGTGAAAAAAAAAATAGTTTGCTCCCAGTGGCCCCATGCCCAAAGAAAAGAAGGAAGTGGAAACGGGTTATTTTATGTTTAGATTATATTTGCTTACATATTTATTTGTTGGGGAGTGGGATACAGAAATAACTGACATCTTAATGCCAAAAATCTTAAGATGGTGAAAGGGGCTGAGTTTCGGGGAGCAGAATCAGAGATGTGTGGACTTACTTTTGGCTGTAGCCAGCATTTTGAACTCCACCCCCTCCCCACTCCCCGGAAATGGGGGGGCAGCTTTACACTTCTAGAGGGAAGCAAGGGTCCGCTCAAAGTGAGTTCTTGAAAATATATTTCCACATGTGCTTTTTTCAGCAGTGTGCTTACAACCAGTTCTGGGTGATTAAAGGAAAGGGGAAAAAGAAAGAAACAAATGGTCCAACATTTTCCTTCTGGGGAAAGAAAACAAAACCTCTATGTTCTGGGTCATTAGATAATGACTGAATTTTCTGTTCCAACTGGATTCCGAATACCCCATATATCAGTATTTTATAGGAACTGGTGTATGGGCTATATGGGAGAAGGGATGTGCAGTAGGGAGAAAGTGGTAGGTGAGGATGTCTTGCTATAAAAAAGAAAGAAAAAACTGATTCTAGACATCCACCAAAGTTGGTCTTAGGGTTTTTTTCCCCTGAAGTTGTTATCTTTTAAACATATCTAAGTTTTTCACAACCCGTTTTTTCTCAACCCAATTAGAAGCAGAAATGGTAGAAGTATGAAAGTTTTCAGGCCCTCTTCCTTGTCTTGAGAATAGTGGTTCAAAACCACTCAAACAACAGGAGAGATGTTCTTTAGTCATTTTTCTTATGCCTTGCCTGAGAATGGTTCAAAGCTCATTTTTCTAAAATGCTGACCCTAAGCATAAGAGGGAAACAGTCAAAGGCAATGACCAGAGTTTGTATACTCAAATGAAAGAGGGCTTCGGAAGTTTAAACCCCAAAGCCTCAGTCTCCAAAAAGAAACCCCTGGAGTAGCTACGGAAAAGTGACAAAAGCAGGGAGGCAGTAGGGGTGAGCTTGAAAGGGAGATTCAGAATTGGGCTATTTTTTCAGTGCTTCAGAACACTTTAGAAGGTTTCAGAGGTAATTTAAAAATATATCTAAGTAGAGAGGGAAAAAAAGACTTTCTCTTCAGGCGTGTTCTTTGGTTCGGTGTCTCCTGAGAGCGAGGGCAGGTATTTACTGGAGTCCCTAGGCTGAAATTCCACTTCTCAAAGTATCTTCCAAGCCTTGGTCTTTTGTATTAGATCCTGGGGACAGCTCTTTGTTCCTCCTTGGGGTGAGCCTGGCTCTCAGACTTGCACATGGCAATACTTGAATATCTCCATGTCGGGATATTAAAGATGGATATTCCTGCATTATTCGCATCATTGTTTCTATGACAAAAAGCACAGAGTTCATACATAGTCAAGATGTCTTTTTTCTGATGCCCTCACGTTGAGAAGCTGAAAAGGTATTTTACTGAAGTTCGGCTAAATTACAGAATCAGGTTCATCCAGAGGACAAATTTTCTATTCGATTAGCTGTATTTCAGCTGGGAGGACTGACCTCTAAACCCTTAACCTTTTGGACTCTAACTACCCTTCTCTTCTTTTTTCCCCTCTAACATGGAGAGCAGTCTTTGGATGTAGCATTTGAAAAGAGCCGCTATCCTTAGGCAAGTTGCAAAGTTGCTAAGATTCTTTCCTAAAACCCAAATCTGTGAATACATTGAACCTTCTCCTTGGCAGCAGGGGAAAGTATATATTTTCACAACATCCAAGGACATATATATTATAAAGATTATTATATAGATTTACCCCCTTCCCAAAAGTTCAGGTTATTCACTCCAGCTTCAGACCAAACGCCAAAACTGCTTAACTGCCTTCACCCCTGCTGCAGAGAACAGCCAAGAGGCATGTTTTGATGAAGAAAACCCAAGCTCCTTCTCAAACATAGCCCCACTCCTTGGAAAGTAACTTAATCAGAGAAACAACTTCTTTGTTTATAAGTCTCAGCTCTCCTTCTCAGCTTCCAGGGATTGTCTTTTGAAATGTTAATGGAGCCTGGATGGCCCAGAGGGCAGCCCTCAACCCTGAGGTCCCAATCGGACCCCAGCGTCCATTTGGGCCCACAGGAGTGGGGCAGGGAAGAAGCAGGGCCCCCAACCACCTAGGGCAGGGAAGGAAATGAGCTTCCATCTGGGAACGTGCTCTGGAGAAAGCTGGATGTGGAAAGGCTCCATGCCCATTTGCTTTTATTTGTTTCCAGTTTGTTCCCCCAAATATGAGCCAGAAGTGTTTGTTTTGGTGTTTTTTTCCTAAAGCCGTGTTCGGGGGGAGTGGAGTGTTTGCGGAGGACATTGCTCCTCACACTCCCACCTCACTTTGTCCACTGCAGCCTTTTGTTGGGAAAGGACATGGTCAGTCAGCCCCATGGTGTCTGTTCACACAAGATGCTTTTTTAATAGAATTGACCAATGTTCTGCTGCCACTGATTAAAGTATTATTTATACTAATTGTTGCCTGTAGTTTTGATGTAATTCATTGATCTATATTTGAAATAATAAAAGGTATAGCGAAATCTCCCTCCTGTTTGGTGCCTCCACAGCAGCCTTCTTCATTGAGTCTTCTAAAAGCTGACATTCAGTATAAGCCATCTTTTATTGTCTGCAACATGCCTGGCGTGTGAAGGTTAAACTGTAAGACTTAGCAATTCTGTCATTACCCCCTCCCCCCTACATACACACTCCCAATTTGGCCACCATATTTTGTGAGTATTGGGAAGCCTTGGGTTGGATTCAGGCTCAGGGAAGGTGGTGGGCATTACTTTTTAAAGGAAAATAAGTAACTTCCCAGGCTAAAAGGAGTCTCCAGGTTGGCTTTCTGCGTGGCCCCTGTCATACAGCCCCAGACCCCTTCCTGTCTCTCTTTGTGAAGTGGTGGGTGAGAGACCTCCCCACCCGCCACGTCTGGGAGAGTGCCGGGGCGCTGGGTTCTGGGCCGAGCCAGCGCTGGCCACTGGCTGCTCCCACCTGACCCCTCTGGCCTCCCATCTCGGGCTCCTTCTACTTTTCCTGAGCTGTTCAGCACCACTGGGGCCTCCAGCACCTGCCCCTCCTTCCTCCAGCGCCCCTCCGCCCTCCAGACGACAATAAACACTCCCCACTATAAAAAGTGGCGTGCGCTATTTTTATCGTGAGGGCCTTTCCACGCCTTGGCCTCTGCCTGGAAGAGGGGGCCAAGACGGGAGTCCCAAAATAGGTGGGGGGGCTTGCCCGCGACAGGAAATGAGCAGAATGCATAAAATCAGACATGTGTCCTTAATATATGGAAAGGCTCGCCTCAGACGCGTGGACATGTGTATTTATAAGTGCGCAGACAGAAGTTTAAATATTCAGACACATTTTATGATTGTCCTCTGCCCGTCTTCTGGTTAATGGCTCCTCCCGTGCCCACCAATACATCAATACCGCTGTGTGGATTGAGTCGCGGGCAGGGATGAGGAGCAAGCGCGTCCGTAGCCGAGCCGCCTGAGTACAGTACAGTAAGTCGGGACCCTCGGCAGACGGCGCTTCCCGCCCGCCCGCCCGCCATGTTGGGGAGCCCTCCCTGCCCCCCGCGCCGGGCTGGGCGGCCGGGGCTCGCCGGCAGCCGGGGGAGGGCCTTTCATAACCCAGAGAATTTTCAAAGTGCGAGGAAGATGATAAGAATAGATTTCTACAAGTCCCGACCACGTGATTGGAGAAATAATTAATTCAGCACGTCCCTTAAGAAACACGGAGTCGTCATTAATCTGCCACGCAAAGGGCTCTCTCCGACTTGGAAAGTGCAGGGATCCCAAGAATACCACCCGCGAGGGGGGCCGCGGCTCCGGGCCTCCACCCTCGGCCCGGCGGGCGGCGGCGCGGGCGCGCGGCCGGCAGGTAAATATTTTGGCGACTTTTATTTCTGCAGATTTAAATCCTTAATGAACTTAGCTGTCAGGGCCTCTGACAAATAGTTCCCTTTGCTTCCTGATTTGGAACCGTGCGCGGGCGAGAAGTTGTTAGTGGCTTGGATGGTGACCTTTGGTTCAGCAAAGCTTTGCACTTATGAAAAATTACTGAGAGTGGCCGAGTGTGTGTGTGTGTGTGTGACAGAGAGAGGGTGTGTGTGAGGAGGTGAGGGTGTGCGGGGGGCGAGGGGCGAGGGTGCGTGCGGGCTGCTCTGAGACAACAGGAGTTGTAAAAAACCCGCCCGGCTGGGGGACGCGCCTGGCGCACGCGGGCCGAGGTTGCCCGGTCGCCTGTGTCTACCGGGAACAATGGTCGCTGTCACGGCATCTGCCGCCTATTCTTAAACCGGTGAGAAAAGGCCCCGGCCCTCTTTTCAAGCGAGGGTCGTAAATTTTTCTTTGCGTCATAATAGAAGGCTATAAAATCGAGTTGAAATTTTACCCCAGGCAGGTTTTAACCAACAGATAATGATTTCCGAGTTGCTTCTCCCACTCCCCTCCCTCAGCACCCAAGCTCTGCTGCTTCTGTCACCCCAGCAAGAAGTTTTCCCTTCTTCCTTTTTATTTTTGTATTTTTAATTTTTTTGGAAGATCTAAAATAAAGGCAGGAGGAAGAATTCCCTGACGCCCGAGTGGGAGACCCCAGGACGAGGGGAAACCTAAAGGAAGGGATACAGGGGAGAGGCCAGGGTGAGATGCAAAGGCTGTTTCTCCTGCTCGCTCCCATTGCAGCCTTTTTCATCTCGCACCCCAAGGAGATTCGAGGTCCCAGGAGCCACTCGCTCCCACCCGACCCCAGCACACGCCACCCCCAGCTTGCCGGTGATGTGGGCTAGGGGCAGCAGCGGGCATTCTCCTCCTCCAGCTCCCAACTGCGGCCCAGATGCCGAGGAGGAGAGCCTCTTTATTCGCCTTCTTCCCTCTCATCGGCTTCAAGCATGATTTCGGCGAGCTGGGGCTGGCTGCCTTTGGTGGTTGTTTTGGGATTGTGTGTGCTTTCATTTCTTTTTTGGTGTGTGTATATTTCCCCATCAGGACAGAGACAAAGTTTCCTCCGTTATGAATTATACATTCAAACAATAACACATTAATTCAATTATTCAAAGATGACAAATGTTTATGTGCTTTGCAAGTGACTCCGGCAGAGATTCCGGGCGCTTTCTCTGAGCCGCTTGCGTTTTTCTCAATGAGAATTGGCTCCCCTCCCACCCCCAACCCCACCCACCACAATCACCTCGTCGTCCCCTGGTAGGCCCAGAGAGGAACCCGCAAAAGGCCTCCCCAGCCCCGCTGGAAGCCCGGCAGCCAACTGCCTCCCAAGGCCCAGGCTTGGCGGGCACTAGCCCGGGCTATTTTATCAGTGTGACAATTGCCCGGGTTGGTGTGATAAATCATCGTAAGTAATTCCTGAAAGGGTGCGAGGCTGTTGGGGGCCGGGCGAGGACTGTAAATCTTTCCGGTTTATTGCTCTATGAACATATGCTCCGATTGAAGAAGGCTTAGATCCTTTCCTGGAGACAAATTCCCGCAAAGCGGCCCCCCTCTTTGGCTGGAGATTAACACTTGCTGTGGCCTGGCTGCTCGGCCCCTGGCGAGAGGCGAGGGGGCGGGGTCCTCCGGGTGGGGGTGGACTGGGGGCACCCACGGTCCGATTCCAAGAGGCTCCCCGAGAGGGCCTCCAGCCAGGCCCAGCCAGGTGAACAAATGGAGGGGCTCACTGACAGGCGGGGGGGGGGGGGGGGTTCGAGCCTGTGATCTGTCCTCCAGGACTTTCCAGTGCCTCTGGAGTGGGGATGCGGAGAAGCTTACCCTCTTCTCCCTGGCTCTTCTGCGGCTGCCGGGCACATTCACCTTCGCCTGTCCAAGACTTGCAAGTGGCCACTGGGCATCTGCTCCCTGCAGGATGCCACTAAGAAGCAGAACTGGTCATGAAAGCGAGACTTTGGGGATAGGATGGAAAACCCCGCATGGTGCTGGATTCCGGGGAGCAAGCCAGGCTCAGAGAGGGTGGTGGGGGCTGGTGCAGGCCAGGAGCTGGAGGCCAGCCGCTGGCCCTGGCCGGGAGCTTAACTGTTCTTCCCACATGCAGACTTGTTACCGTAAATTCTATCTGACCGCTCCGAAAGTGCTGGGAACCTGTCCTGGTTTACTATTTCTAAAATACAAGCTCCCTCGTCTCCGAGATAAGCCTGGCCAGGACTGATTCGGCAGCCCGTCTGCCTTCTTGGAGACGCCGCGGGAAGCCGCGGCCTGGCGGTCACTGGGCCTGTGGAATCCGTGGGCCATGTCCAGATCCGGAGGCGTACAGGTCACGGCAAACAGCGGCTCAGCGTCTCGGCGGCTCCAGGCCGTGGAGAACCCGGTGGAGTGCCCAAGACACAGAGAGGGGAGACTGCTCCAGGTGCCAGCCTTTTCTGGCTCTAGGAAGTAGCGACTCCTCTGCTGCGTCCGTGGACGGAACCAAGGCCACAAGTAGTGGTGGTGGTGGTGGTGGTGGGGTTCCCCCGGGGTGACCAGCCTGGTCTGTGAGCTGGAAGCTCCACCTTAGGGCCGGACCTGCGCTGTGTCACAATGTAATTGCCTCGCCTGGGGAGGAGAAGAGCAGCGTGTCTGCCTAGGCGGCGCCTAGCCCGGGTTCGTGTGGATGCGGGGTACTGAGCCACCCTGAGCCTCTCTTGCTTCAGAGCCACCTCCGGAGATGCCTCTAAGAGAGGCAGCCTCTAAAATTTTCAATCCTGGACCAGTCTAGTGGAAGATCGGGCCAGGGTCAGAGGTCGTGGGGGGAGAGACTCTTAGCGCCCCCACCCCACTGCCTGTGGCCAGGCTAGAGCTAGGTTGATCCCGAGCAGCGAGATAAGGTTTTTCCTTCCGCCTACAAGTCTGCCCTGGGGAAGGGGCCTGAATCCCACGCCTCCTGCCCCTCCTCCCAGTCCCCAGGCCTGGCTGCGCTCCGGGGCTGGCTGGCGTGAAAGTTTCAGCCTCGATCAGTACAATCTTCCCTCGGGGTCACGTGAACAAATATGCTCGCATTTGAAGGCAGCGTCTGTATTTCCCGACTATGAGGGGGATTCCGGGGCTCTCTCCAAATCCAGCAAGGGCCACATTCCGAAAGCAAAACAAACCTCGAGCTCTGGGGGGCCTGGGAGGGCTGGGCAGGAACCCAGGAGTGGGTGGGGGCGCGGGTGGCCGCCGCTCTGGGCCTGGGAGCGGGCCGGCGGGCGGGTGGACTGACGGGCGCGCAGCTCAGGCGAAGCCAGCTTGGGGACTACGAACTCGTTCCTCCTGCGTTTATTGGTAGTTGAACCTCAGCCTGGTTCCGTTCTACCGGGAATTCCTTGTGCTCGGGTATATGGCCGCGTCTGCGAGCACGCAAGACCAGGGTTGGGACAGTGTTGTCTGCAGACAAAGGGGGAAGGCTAGCTCTGCCCCCCACTGGCGCCCACTCTGAGGCCGAGGACACCAGGTTTATGATAAATTGGGATCCAGGTAAGCAATTGCATGACAAAATGGAAATCTTTGGGCATGGGGCTGCTTGCTGCCCTGAGCGGGATACTAAATATGATTTATTTTGTGTAATCTGTGATCTTGATTATTGCCAATTGGTGAGGCAGCCCGCGTAGACCTAGATACACTTCTACATATACATCGAGGACGGTGATTAATCGTAAGGAGGTGCGCTTTGTGGGGATGCTCCCCGCCTACCCAAAGGTTAGGAGGACACACTACCTTGCCAGGCTTGGAGGGTGGCTGGTGGCATTGGGCGGGTGGCAGCTTGAGGAAAGGGTGGGTAAGGGGGTTGGGGGCTGAAAAAAGTATTTTGGGGGTAAATGTGCAGTTATGAGAATGGGCTGAAAAATGAAATGAATAAAAAGAAACTTTTTTTTTACACTGTCACTGCCAAAGTAAGATGGAGCATCATATTAATTCCGTGTCTTGGGCTGCCTGGCTGGGTGCAGGCAGGTTGATTTATATGTATTTAAAATAAACTCTGTGGCCAGCCAGCTCTCTGCATTGTTCTGGGAGCCAGCTCCACATACGCATGCCTTTATCTCTTGCTGTTGGCTTAATATTTCTTTCTTAGGAGGTTAAAGTGCTACTCAAGCTTCTCCCCCCAAATTCAAGAGAACCCCCAAACTACCCAAAAGAGTTTGGGAGGTTCCTCCACACTTTTCCCTAATCGAAGTTTTGACTTCGATAGTTGCAGAGAAAAGGTTTAGGGCTTCTGGGTCCATTTCCCCGAAGAACCTGGAATGAAAGCTAAATCATATTTTGGCTCCCATATGCTACTCATCCTTTTGTTTACTGTGTCCTGTGGCTCTGGCTAGAGGAGGACAGGACTATTCATCCTGGGTCTTTCCGGGGCCAAAGCCTGAGTAAATGGCTCCAAGAGCTGGAAATGAGCGGCTTCATGCTCATGGGAATGCCACAGGGCCGGGTTAGACTGGGCCTCTATGGGGAAAGGACCCAGAAAGCAAGGAGCACTCCCTTAGCCTAGATTGGGATGGGCCCCAGCCCGAGAGGGACCAACTTCTAGGGGCGTTGTCATCAAAGGAGAGCAGTAAAGTTCTTTTTGTCAATCGCCTGCACTTGGCTCCGTCAGAACTTAAAGTCGCTGGACATTTTTCTTCGCTTGCTGCCTTGGAGCTGCGCGCCTGCCAACTTAGTCAGCTGAATCCAATTACTGCGAGCAGCATTTCATTTGGCCCCATGGAGCACTCACTTATAACTTCCCCGAAAATTTCAATAATCCGCACCAAGGCTCCCTATCCTAAAGATTTTTCCCGGGGTCCTGGTGGGGGATGGGGGATGGGGCCGGGTCTGCCAGGGACCAGCTCTTCGTTGACAGCTCGCAGACTGCGGTCCCTACTGCTCCCCCGGTTTCTGGCTGTGGAAAGGGTACTTGAGGTGGTGGCCCAGAGCCAGTTGGGTTAAGCCTGCAATTCTAGGCTAGCAGGAGGCAAAAGTTGGGCCGGTGCCGGATGGTGGGTGGGCTGGGGAGGCACCGCAAGAGAAGTCGCTGGGGACTCTGGGCGGCCCAACTTTGGCCACCTTGAGGTCCTCTATCCTTTCTCCTTCCCAAGCCTCTTGCGCCCAGAGCACCAAGCGCACCGCGCACCCGGGAACGCCCAGGAGCAAACTTACCCTGTTCCTCCGCGACTGGGAAGACAAAATCTAGCTACAGGCGTCGGAGGATCGCGGCCCTGGGTGGCCTCCCAATTTAGCCCTTCTTCTGAGGGGAAGCCCCTACTTTTAAAGAACCTTTTTTTTTTTTTCCAAAAAAAAAATTAAAAAATAATCAAGCGGAGAAAGTTGACGTCCGCCCACGTGAATGTATCATATAAAGCGGCTTCGGGACTCGCCAGTCAGGTCCGAGAGTCCGGGTACATTGCGTCTCCACCGCGCAACCCTTGGGGCCGGCCAGCGGAGTGGGCCCCCTGGGTCGGGGCCGGCTGGGAAGCTGAAGCCGGGCGCGATGTTACGAGCCCTACCGGGCCAGGATCTCTCCGAGGCGCTTCCGTTGGGTGTTCATTAAGGGGTGAGTTATTGCCGCGTGAGCCAAAGGTCACTTGAAAGGCTTATGGCTGCGCGCTCTGGTCTTTAGAAGGGCCGAGAACGCTTTGTGTGGGGCTTTCCCGGTCGAGGTTTAGTGTTTGCAAACTACTGAGTCGACAAATTGCATAGGGCAGATGCAAGAGGGGGGACTGTTTCTCTCCTTTTACCTGACCGGGGTGGGCACCCGCTGAGTGCGGCAGTGGTGGGCAGTTTGGTCTGGTTTTGGGTGGGAGTGGAAGGGGTGTTTGTTTCTTAGATGGTTTGCAGCATGATCCCTTAGGCGGTGGGCAGCCCAGACCAGGAGTGTGGTGGCTATTTACTGGGATGAAATAAACTCAGGCACGCCATCGGAGACATAAAGTACAAACCAGGAAATATCGCCCAGCTCCCTCTCCACTGGGGCTGTGTGTGGCAGCCTTTGACTAGGACCCACCCAGGCCCATCTAAATGTCCACCCTCCTTTTCTGGCATCCTATAAGGTAGCCTCCCTCTCACCCCAATTCGCCACAGTCCCTCTCTTTTGCTCCTAGGAGATGGGCTTGGCCTGACCGATTGGGGCACCTGGAGCATTTAGAGCTTGGTTGGAGCAGGAGAGGGTCTGGTTTCCCTGTGCCTCTGACCCACTTGGCCCACCCCCTGCCTGAGGGTCTGGCCCTTCCCTCAGGTTTGGGCTCCCGCTTCCCCCATCCAGCCAAGGATTTGGGTGTTAAAAGCCACTCACTCCCCAGGAGCCAACTGAGGTCTCCTTTCCGCCGCTGCCCGCCGCCGAGAAGGCTCCTAGAATGGCTTCAGGCACCTTATACAATAGCCACATTGATTATGACACCCTTAAAGGGGGTAAAACCTCTCGACAAAAGTGTAAGAAAGAACCGCTGCCACTGAATTTTCCATTTTGTTCCAGATCCACCTCAACAGAATATCAAAAGGAACCTGAAGAGCCTACAAAAAGAGTTAGAGACAAAATGTGACAAAACACACACACACATAATTGTGGTGAGTGGCGTGATTTTAAAAAATAATTTCCACTAACATTTCGATCTGTCCTGCAACTCAAGGTAGCCATCTCAGGATTCATACATCAAGACATAAAACAAAGGGCGGCTTTGAAGTGGATCACCTCAGTGTGAACTGCCGCCCGTTACATGATAACCGATCATCAACCTTCAAATTTATGGCGCTTTAATGGGGTTAGCCCAGTGCCTTAAATGCAGGGTGTATTACGTATTGAGTTATCTGGGCTAAATAACAGTGATTTAGAAGGCGCGCCCAGGGCTTCCCATAGGGCAGAAGAGGCTCAGGTTGAGAGATCGGGAGAACTTGGGCAGAAAGCCGCCCCAGCTCTGCGGTATATATCCCCTTCTGAGCAAAACCAAAAAGGAGTGGTTTCGAAATCCCGAAGTAGCAAGCCAACAGGGAGGGAAGAATCGTTGCAGGGTTCCGGTGAATTAACGGGGATGCCCAGCAACAGTCTTCTCCGCCAAAAAGAGATCTATAGGATTCCAAGGCCCTGATTTAGGCAAAACCGGGAGAGGAGCCGAGGCCAACTCGAACCTTAGAAAAATCGGAGAGGAACAGAAAAGCAACCAGCACTCCATCGCCTCCCCCTTCTCTTTCAACGTGCCCGGACTGACTCCACCGGCCCGTGATTTACGACGACTGCGGCGCTAGTCACAGCCCGGCGACTGCCGCCCCTCCCTCCCCAAGCCCCTCGGCCTTTACGCGGCCACGGCGGCGAGCGAGCGCCGGGCCAGCCTCCGCGCGGCGGGCGAGCTCCGGCGTCCCCGGGCGGCGGCGGGCGGGCGGGCGGCAGGTCTTCGGGCCGGCGAGGCTGCGCGCGTCCCGCCCCGCGGCCGGCCGCCGATGGAGCTGCTCCAAGAGGCCGCCGCGGCACCTTATATAATCCGCCTGCTCGCGGGGCGCGGGGCGCGGGGCCGGGAAAGTGCGGAGTCGGGATTCTTTTGCTGCGCTTCCTCCTACGCGGAGCCTGTTTTCCACTTCTGAAAAGTGCCGGGCCTTGGGAAGTGTTTTTCTTTTCATTCCTTACTGAAGCGTTTACTGCCGCCGTGCTCGCAGTCATAAATTTTGTTACAAACCACAATGACAGGTGCATTGATATGCACCGTGAGAGCTCCAGCTGCTTAATAACCCCGTCCCCTGGCCGCTGTGAGCGCCTTTTATTTATTCGGTATCATATTAGGTATTGATCCTGGGCAGAATTAAGTGCAACGAGCAAGTATCAGGGTTCGGCTGTTTCGGAGGCGCGGCGGGTGCGGCGGGCCAGCGCGACCCTGGGGGGGAGGGGGTCTCTCCCAGGCCACCCCGAGGCCGCCCTCCTTCCGACTGGGGACCGTTTGGCCCTGTATTCCAGGCCTGGTGTTGGGCCTCCGAGCGGAGTTGGGCCACTTCCCGGGATCATGAGAAAGGGACGAGCCAGGCCCCGTTTTGACGCCCCTTACTCAGGAGAGGCCGAGGATGGCGTCGCCAGTTCTGGGGACGCTGCCCCAGCCGGCCGATTCTGGGCTAGGGGGTAGTGGGAAAGAGGAGTGAGAGGAAAGGGCAGCTGAGGACTTCGGAGACTGCCCCTCCCCCTATACGGGCTAGTCTTTACCCCCAGGCATTGAGCCCAAAAGAGCAGAGGTACCAAAGGGCGAGAAAAGAAAGCCTTAAAAAAAAAGGGGGGGGGGGGGATCGAAAAGATGAGTCGTCACTGAACAGTTGACCATTGTCCAAGTGATTTATGACCCGTTCCTGCTTTTTAGGTTCAAGCAGAGTTCACAAGGAGTAGGGATTTCTGGAAAGAAGCATTTTTTTTAAACCAGTTTTGTAACAATATTCTCAGGTTCTGTTTTAGGAGAGGTGGCTTCTTTGGGGCACTATAGTTGGGGATGGGGGGAGGCTGCAAAGCCATTCCCATTGAGAAAGGGCTATTGCCCTTGCTTTTGGGGAATGGACATTGGGGTGGTGGATCATCATTGGGCCTTGAGATTCCCTCAGACAATGAAAACAGAGGCAGGAGAACAGACTCTGTGGTTACTCATGAAGCTGCCCAGTGTTTGCACTTTTGAGGTCCATACACAGAGCTTTTTCTAGGAATACTCCATAGGAACAAATATATATATGTAAAGTCAGCTGTTTCAAAGACCTGGTCAGTTCCTAAAGAAGCTATTTTAATGTGACTGGTCTATCTAACAAGATAGACTTGGTCAACCTGGGAGGCAAGAGGGGGATGTTTTGCTTCCACAGTTGTAAATGGAATTCCAGAAGCAGCAGTGAGTTCTAGCAGTCTGAGTGTCCAATGTGACCATTTTGACATTCAGAGGGCCCAAGTTTGAAGACTGGAAGCAGGATCCCAGAAAAGTCCAGAAACTTAACCAAACCCAGAGTAGCTGGCCGTTTGGTCTGGCAGAAAACACATATAAATATTAGCCACAGGACGAGGATGTAGCTGTCCAGTTGAATTCAGTTACTTTAATATCAAAGAATGATATAGAAAATGAATAGAAAGAAAGATTAAGACCAGCTTTGCTAGGTAGATATCCTAACAGCATACATTTAAGAACAATAATAGAAACAATTCCTGAAACATCCTAGTATTCTATTATCCCATTGACAAGGGCCTGTCTCTCATAAAGATAAATGGCATATTCACTTATATTTTAAAACAAAATAGGCAACAATACTACCAAACAAAAGCTAATGTGAAGAATTTTTTAAATTGGGTTAGGATCTTTTGTGAAAGTGGAGGGGAAATGAGTAAATGGAGGAGTAGTTTTGGTGCTAGTGGTCAAACCCATTAGGCTGCATAAGTTATCTAGATAATATGGTGCATCATGATGACCATGATGGAAGCCAGAGAGTTTTGGGGAAGGAAATTCGTCTGAAAGAGGAGATGAAGAATTAAGACTAGGGGAGCTGACCTGTGAGTTTTCTTTAACAAGCAGACAAGAGTAGTTGAATGGTGTTAGTTATACTTTAACTCATTAGGAGCCTTGGGGGGGGGGGTGGCAGGCAGGGTGAGAAGGGAAACCTCCATCAAGAGTCAGAGGACACAAAAGGGGTAGAATTTTTCTTAGCTTTTTTTTTTTCTCTCTCTCTCTTCTAATTCTGGGTCCATTCATCATGCCATGAGAGGTTCTCTCATTGGTTGTGGGTTGAGTGGGAGGTGGGGCGGAATGGATGATCCAGAGCAGAGGTCAATAATAATATTTATACAATAGATTCAGGATAAAAATGACAAAGTTATAAAGCACTTTCCATTCACCCATGCTCCATGAATTTCAAACTCTACATCTTTTCACCCATTTCCACTGGTATCCATTTAAAAGTAGTGGAGGACAAAAGAGTCTAGAAAAATGTAGATGAAAAAGAAACATTTTCTAGCCTCAAAATAAGTCTGGGAGTCTTTAAGTCCTCTTCTTGGTTTTTATCTCCTAGAAGATTTCACAGTGTTGACCCATAGAGCTCACCTTGTCACCAGAAAGTGGACAATCTGGGTCTCCATGAAAGATGCTGTGATTTTGAAACCAGGTGGGGGAGATACTTGTTTTGAGAGCTCTGGCTGTTCTGCGTGTGTTATAGGGCTTTCTTTTACCCATTGAAACTTTGGGGTGACCCACTGGTTCAGTGATTGATCCACTCATTCATTCACTCATTCACCAAGCATTTATTGCACTTACTACGTGCTTGGCATTGGGCTGGATATTAGGAATATATAGGTGAATAAGACATAGTCCCTGCCTTCGAGGAGCTCAGCATCTAGTGGGAGAATCAGCCATTAAAATGTATGAGACCATAAGTGCTTTTCTGCGTAGTTTCAAAGGGTAAATTGACAATCCTGGAGAAAGAAAATTATACCTGGGGCGGGGGGGGGGGGGGGAAGCCCCTGCCATTGGATGGAGTTGCGCTAAAGAGAAGGAATGGTCTTTTGGTATATTTATGAGAAATTCCTTCTGACTTCTCCAAGGGTTCAAATAAGTCGAACTTCACAAAATCCCAGATCCTCCCACTAAGAAGTGGATGGGAAGTGGTGTCTGGGCTAGTCCTTCTACATTGACCAGTCTTGCCAGTGACAGTCCCTCTGGGGCCTCTCGCTTTTTTTTTCCACAGGTCACCTGGAGCCTGGGGCTGCCCCAGCTCTCTCAGGATTTGGCAGACATTGGAGGTGGTGGTGAAGGAGACAGTGGTGGTCAATGTTATTTGAGCAGGGTCAGCAGGCCCCGGAGCTTCCTGAGTGCACGATGCAGAAGGCTGCTTACTATGAAAACCCAGGACTCTTTGGAGGCTATGGCTACAGTAAAGCCACTGACACTTATGGCTATAGTGCCCCCCATCAGCCTTATCCACCTCCTGCTGCTGCCAACTCCCTGGACACTGATTACCCGGGCTCTGCCTGCTCCATCCAGAGCTCTGCACCTCTGAGAGCCCCAGCCCACAAGGGGGCTGAACTCAATGGCAGCTGCATGCGGCCTGGTACTGGGAACAGCCAGGGTGGTGGTGGTGGAAGCCAGCCTCCTGGTCTGAACTCAGAGCAGCAGCCACCACAACCCCCTCCTCCACCACCCACCCTGCCCCCATCGTCACCCACCAATCCAGGAGGTGGAGTGCCTGCCAAGAAGGCCAAGGGTGGGCCCAATGCTTCTGGCTCCTCAGCCACCATCAGCAAGCAGATCTTTCCTTGGATGAAAGAGTCCCGACAGAACTCCAAGCAGAAGAACAGCTGTGCCACTGCAGGTAGCTCTCTGAAGGGGCTCACTCCTGGGCTGAGTCCCTCAGACTGACCCCAAGAAGCTAGCTCACCCAGAAATCAGGAGACTCAGGGCTGGAAGTGCAACTTTGGAAGCCATATGTCTAAATCATGCAGAAATGTCCTTGATTGGGGTCATACCCTTACAGTGACAGTGTGCTCACTTCCATTCCAGCCTGCTGGTGCCATTGCTGGACAAGTCTCATAGTTATTAACAGACAGCTCTTCCTTATACTGATCTAATATCTGCTTTCCTGGGCTGCTGGTCATAACTCAGGTCCTTCTTCCATTCAATAGCTCTTCAAAACTTGAAGACAGGTGTTACAATCCCCAAGCCCGGGTGGTTACATAGCCCATATCACATGAATTCTTCTCTCTTAAATTAATAAGAACTAAAATCTAGGGAGTGCTATGTTAAGAACCATGCTAAGTGCTTTAAGAGCATTATATAATTTATTTTCCAAAGAATCCTTTCATGTAGGTATATGATAACATCCTGTATTTTAAAGATAAGGAAACTGTCAGAGATAAGTGACTTGCCCAAGATCACAAAACTACAAAAGGGCCTGCAAGGCATAACCATGGGACTCTACTTGGCCCACCCCAGCCCAATCTCGCCATCCCAGCCAATCCATGATGGGGAAGGGCATATCCTAGGGGAAGAGGATGTGCTCTGAAACAGGAGCAGCCTTGGGTTTCTCTCTCTGGAAAAGAAGACCCTAGAGTTGAGATCTTCCCTAGGTCCACTCCTGGTGTATGGAAAATGAGCAAGACCAAGAGCTCTGAGGCCTGCTCTTCTCTCTGCTCAGCCTGCTTGGTTCCTGAAATTTTCTGGCCTTGTGTTCTCTGATGCGGTTTATCTTCAAGTAGATGAACTTGCTTCCAGGTCCAGGGCTAGTTTGAGGCCTGGGATGTAGCTAACATGTTATCAGCTTTCTCTCCCAGCCTGTAAGCTCCTTCTCCTCCTGCCCCTCCTTCCCAGCTGCAGGCCCAGGCCCTCCCTCCCAGGAGAAATCCATTTGTCTTCCCAGGGAGGGAGTGGACAAGCTGCTGAGAGGTGGCAGGGGTGGTAGAAACCAGTGTTGAGGCTGCTGCTCCTAGCACTGCAGTACTCAAAATGAGCCTGTGGCCTTGGATCCCCCGAAACTCCTGGGCTGTATTTTTATGGTTTATCAGCTCCCTGTGTTTGGGTGCAGAACCCTTGGGTGCAGATGGACCGGAGTGAGAGTGAGGTGCCAAGATCTCCACCCTCTTTCCATGTTTCATGGGATGCTTTGCCCAGGAGCCAGCCTCTCAGTAAGGCAGGCTGGGGCTGCCTTCCCCTCCCCCCCCCCCCCCAGGGTCCCCCCCCCCCCCCCCCCCCCCAGCAGAGGCTCCGAGGAGTGTTCAAAGAAATCTGGCCCTTCTTTGACAGAGGGGAAGCCTTACCAGCTGCTACTAGTCTCTCATTAAACTCCTCCACGGCCTTTGGGACGGGATGATGGACTAGGCTGGAAGGGAGGGGGCGGGCAGAATGAATCGGACCTCAGAAGGCAGATGGGGGTTTCAGGTGCAACTGATAGGTAGGTTTGGGGCGGGTGAGTTCCCCCTTGGAACCTCACCTCTCAGACGCCCCTCCCAGCTCCAGCCAGGATTAAGATGGGAGAAGGGGTAGAGGAAGAGGAGGGAACCAGGGAAGCACCCTACTCCGACCCTGGGTGTCCCCACCTCTCCCGCTCAGCGTCCCCTCTCTCTCCTTCCCTGCCCAGGAGAGAGCTGCGAGGACAAGAGCCCGCCGGGCCCAGCGTCCAAGCGGGTACGCACGGCGTACACGAGTGCACAGCTGGTGGAGTTGGAGAAGGAATTCCACTTCAACCGCTACTTGTGCCGGCCACGTCGCGTGGAGATGGCCAACCTGCTGAATCTCACCGAGCGCCAGATCAAGATCTGGTTCCAGAACCGGCGCATGAAGTACAAGAAGGACCAGAAGGCCAAGGGCATCCTGCACTCGCCGGCGGGCCAGTCCCCGGAGCGCAGCCCTCCGCTCGGCGGAGCCGCGGGCCACGTGGCCTACTCAGGCCAGCTGCCGCCCGTGCCGGGCCTGGCCTACGACGCGCCCTCGCCGCCCGCCTTCGCCAAATCTCAGCCCAACATGTACGGCCTGGCCGCCTACACGGCGCCGCTCAGCAGCTGCCTGCCGCAGCAGAAGCGCTACGCGGCGCCCGAGTTCGAGCCTCACCCCATGGCGAGCAACGGCGGCGGCTTCGCCAGCGCCAACCTGCAGGGCAGCCCGGTGTACGTGGGCGGCAACTTCGTCGACTCCATGGCGCCCGCGTCCGGGCCCGTCTTCAACCTGGGCCACCTCTCGCACCCGTCTTCGGCCAGCGTGGACTACAGTTGCGCCGCGCAGATTCCGGGCAACCACCACCACGGACCGTGCGACCCCCATCCCACCTACACAGATCTCTCGGCCCACCACTCGTCTCAGGGACGCCTGCCCGAGGCCCCCAAACTGACGCATCTGTAGCGGCCGCCACCGGCCCGAACTCTCGGCGCAATTACCTCTTTCGCTCGGGTGGTGGGGGTGGCGGGCGGGGCCCGCGGGACAGCTCGGTGACCCCCCTCCCTCGCTCTGGCCTGGTCGCTGCCTCCCGGGTCTCGGGCCAACAGCGGCCGAGGCGCAGGCGACTGGGCCTTCCCTCTCGGCGCGCCCTCCTTTGGGCGACTCGCCATAAATCAGCCGCAAGGATTCTCCTCTGTAAGCCTGACAGAGCCATATACTGCAGACCGAGGGACTCTAGTCTGGTAATGGTGTCCCGAAGGTAAGTCTGAATCCATCGGCGGCGCGCCCTGCAGAGGGACCTGAGCCCGGAGAGTCCCGGGTCTGGCCCGCGTCTAGCTTAGTTGCGGAGACCTTAATTTATATGCTCCTTCCCGTCCCGTAAGGATTGCATCGGACTCAACGATCTGTATTTATTATTTGAAGCGAGTCATTTCGTTTCCCTGATTATTTATCCTCGTCTTAATGTATTTATGTGTATATTTGTAGAATTCTCCAGCCGAGCTTAGGAACGCGCTCCCAGGCCGCGGGGGCCACATTTCACCTCTTTAGTCCGCTTGGTCTGAACTAGTTGAGAGAGTAGTTTTGAACAGTTGTAACCGTGGCTGGTGTTTGTAGTTGATGTAAAGGATTAAGATCGCAAATTGTCCTTCATGGGTAGAGTCAGGCGGCCCTGTGGCGAGGCACGACACCCGTTACTCATTTCTCAACAGCTGCAGCCCTCGCCACTCGACACAGTTTATTGATTTCAAATTGTCTGGTAATATTTGAACAAATATTTAGAATAAAAAAATTTCTCAGTCGGAAGCGTATCTGTGTTAATCACACACACTTGCAACTAGAGCTCTCTGCCTTTATCTTTCGCACAGTCCCCGTGGAAGGCCCCAAACTAGGCTGACCCTTTGAAATGTTTGTTTTCATTTATTTGAATTCTAGTACACAAATTGGTTCTGGGGACACTTGATTGCATTCTAGCTGTTGACATTGGGGGAAAATATCTTAGGATGCAAACCTAGAAGTGTTCTGGGCGGGATGAGGCGGGTAGGGGTCTCTGCGCCTGCTTTGCTGTTTCTACCGCCCCCTTTCTAGATGCCGAACGACTTTTTTAAGATTGTACTTACACTGGGGAGGCCAGAGCTCACTTTTCTGCGTTAATAAAAAAAAACTTTTAAAGAAAACTGACAATCAAAGAAAAGACACGAGAGAAGTTGTAGGAAGAATTGAGCTATGAAAAAGCTAAGGTGCAGAAAAAGAAACCATTATTTGGGGGTAGCACCTAAGCTTTTTCTCTAGGAAATGCTGTCACGACTTCTTCCTGTAGTGGTCGGTGGTTCACTTCTAAAGGAAACGGACGTTGCCCACTATGTAACGTAATAAAAGTTTCATTAATGGAACATAACAAGTATAAACACCTTGTTTACTCCAGTTTCTTTTGTACAAAATGGGCAAAAATGTCTTCAAGGATTTATAACCATTTTGTAAACATTAGCATGGCTTTAGCTAGGGGCAGACGATTTACACCCGCTTCTCTGGGAGGAGGCACTTAGAAAACGCCTTCAGATAAGGTTCAATTCTTTTGTATTTCAGCAAAGTCGGCCCACGCATCTCTATTTGGGTTGACAAATAATGCAACTCCTACTACATCCCCCGTGACACGAGGTGAAATTCCTATTGTGTGGAAATAATTTAACTTCTAATCTTCTGGTGGAACAACAATCGTTTCTATTTGGATGTTTGTGTTTCGCTAAATAATGATGGCTCAAAATAATATTTAGTTTCCTTGTTCCTTTGTGCTGTTTTTAAAATGGCATGTTAGATGGGGGTGGGAGGGGATTATCGTTTTGCTAAATTTCACCCTATCCAAGCAGGTTTAAAGCATACATGTTGTAGAAGTGTATCAACAGAATAAATGACTTTAACTGAAGGGATATTTTACCCACTTTCAAGGTTTAAAATTGGTTTCTATGAAATTTGCATCCATAGGCAGAATTTCTAATTGTCTTGTAAGAAATTATTTTTTAAGCTATTAGGGAAATCAAGGAAGAGCTTGCTGCCTTGCAGGGATTACAACAATCTTTCTTAACTGGCTAAATATTAAATAGATGAATTGTCAGGCTGTTTAGATTCAGCCTGGTTTTCCCTCATCTCCTCTTCCTATCATAAATAATAATAAAAATACATAATGCATCATGGCTCCAGGCGTTTTCCAGCGCGGTGTGTTACCGCAGGAGTATCTGCTGAGTCTGCGGGTGTCTGCAAGGCCCCAAGTGTCATCTGCGGCTTAGGGTTTCATGGATTAGACTTTAAACGGTGTCTAGCCCCGCTGACATCAGCTTCCTCTCGCATTCAGGCTCCAGAGAAGTGCGGGGTTGGGGGCCCCCTCTTTAGGCAGCCGCAGCCGCCCCAAGTGCCGCACCCCTCTCTAGTGGGGTAGGGGACTTTGCTTGGGACAAATCTTCGGCTTTTTCTCACCTCGGGAGAAAGTGTCCCCGAGTCTCCTGAGAAAGGTTCGGATCCGTTCCTGCCATTGGATGTGTTGGGCACACTGGGTCCCTCCGGGCGCGGGGTGGGGTCTGAGGCGAGTCCGCGGAGGGCGCTGCCCGCGAGAGCGCCGGTCCGCGGCACAGCCATTTAAAACTTCATAAATTATAAACAAGCCGCCTCGGCCTTCGCCATAAATTCTGCTCCTTTTGAGCCTGCAGTTAGTGTTAGGAAGCACCCGAGTCTAAACACAACCAAACGCCCTCTGAAGGGCCCAACTGCCCGCGGTTGCAAACCTTGTTTATTTCCCAGCGCCACTCTCTCCGCACCCCGAGGTCTGCACACACATTCGCCGCCTCCCCCGCCACCGCCGGCGGTCCACACTCGGCTGGGTTCCCGCTCTGCGAGGGAAGGTCACAATAGCGGCTCTATCGGCGGAGGCGCCCGCCTCCTCCCTCGCAGGCCTCGGAGCAGCAGAGACAGACGAGGGTGGGGGAGGGGAGCCCGGCCCGGCAATGGCGCCCTGGGCCAGGCTTCTCCCTCTCCCGAGGAGGACCTGCGGCGGACAGGGACCAGGCGGCAGGGGGAGGAAGCCTCTGCCCTAGCCTGGGACGTTCCCCGGGCCCGTCGCGCTGGGGGCCGCGGGGTGCGCCCCGAAGCCTCGAGGCTGCTGGCCCTGGCCGCCCGGAGCAGCCGGGTCTTCCGGGAGCGGCCGCGCCATTGTGCGCGCGGCGCCCCCAAGGCCTCCGCGGCGGGGAAGGCCACACAAAGGCAGCGCGGGGCCGGCGCCGGGCGGTGGGAGAGGGCCAGGCTGCGCTCGGGCCGTGGTCTCTGGGAGGCTCCCCTCGCTTGCCTAAGCGGAGGAAATGGCTCTTTGGCTCAGGCCTCGGCCTGTTCTATTTTCTTCCCATAGAGACCGCTTTGGGGAAGGTGGGGACCAGGGAGGTTGTGGGGGATCCTCCTGAGGCCTGAAGAAAGGGATCAGGGCTGCAAGCCCAGGCCCATGGCTGGGGGGTGGCAGTCGTTTGGGAGCCCGTGGTTGTTCTGTCCAGGCAGTCAAATGTGAATTAATGCAGGGTAGGGGTGAGGCAGTGGGAATGGCCCGCTGCAAAATGGGAGGTTGGGGTGGGGAAAGAGATTTAGGGAGAGGGAGAGCTTGCTCTGGCTACCAGGAGAGGCTCAGGCCCCAGCCTGGAGTGGAGTGAGAAGACTCAACTGAGCTAGCCAGGAGGATGGGGAAGTTGCAGAGGAAAGCCCTGAAGAGTAGTCCTGGCCCCAGAAAGGCGGTAAGAAAGGGCCATTAAAGTTCACATTCTGCCTCCTGGCTTTCAGACCTCAGCCTCATCCAGGGACCTGACAGAGAAAAATCCGCCTGTGATGGAATCATTAAGTTAACCATCCATTTGTGCCATTTCTTTGTACAGGCTTTCAAAGGAAAGAAGGAGAGAACACAGAATGAGTACTTCTCTTTGGTGCAGCCCCAAGCCCCGTCCCTATCAGAGACACATCAGCTAGACTGGTTTCTCAGGCCCCAGAGGCTGCTAACCTTGCTGAATAGGATTTTTCGAATTTCTATCTATAAGGAGTATTAAAAGACAGTGATTACCTATATTAGCTACTCATCTCTTCTCCCTCCCCCATTCCATACCAGCCAACTGACCCTTGAGTGAAGTGCATCTTTTCAGCCAGCAGGCTTGAGAGCCTAGGCTCTCCATCTGTTGAGGTTTTTCATTAGGGAGGGGGAAGAGGATGTGTGTGTGTGTGGGGGTGTCTTTTTGAATAACAAAGAACAAACCCAACCTTCCAATAAAAAGCGTGTCTCTGCTTGACCTGGGGGGGCCAGAAGCTTGTTTACACGTTTAGTATCCAAGGGACAGGCCTGTTTTGACTTTATCCTGAGAATTAGCTGAAACTTCCTCCTGAAATCAAGAATTGGTTAATCCCTGTTACAAATCCAGGAAGGTCCTCTTCATCTGGGAGTTCTTGGCTTTACTTTGGTCCTTCTTTCAGAAACTGTAGGAAAAGAAGAGAATGAACTGAAGTTTGTGAGTATTAAATAAAACTAGAGGCAGAAGGCTCCAGTTGCCATGGGCCTACAGCCTTATCATTTCAGGGCACTGTAACTTCCCAGAGAGGCTATAGCTAAGGGCCTGGGTGAGCTGACCTATCCCTAGACACTTTGGACACAGGAAGCTGAGACTGCCAGCCATGCCCGTACCACCTCTGAGGACTGGCTCGCTTAGATCTCTCTTGCAGAAGGCCTGCATGGAGGGAAAAACAGTGAGTAGATGAATCCTCCACACTTACTGCACTGGTGGTGCTGGTGGTGGACAGGATCATCAAAGAGGGAAAAAATCTTAGTTTTCACTGTTCCCTTGTCTTGTACTCCAGCTACAAATGCCCTTATTTTGGGGGTCCAAAGTTAGTGCCAAATGGATTTATATACCTGGCCTAAAGCCCAGGCCTAAACACTTCCCTCAGGTCTCATACCCACTTTGGCAAGTTGGAAAAGTAGAAAGACAATCCAAAAGACTCAGTTTCAGGCCAGGTCCAGCCAGAAGAGGCAAGGTGGATGGATGTCCAACCATCTTCAGGAGCAGAAGCAGGTGAAGGGACCCCAAGAGACCCACAAGGTGGGAGATACTCCGTGAGTCCTCTTGTCCTAGATCTTGTGGCAAAATATCTTGAGTGGTTCCTATAGCTAGTCTGGATTATTTTTATGGAAGAACGATATCTGGAAAATCATGAAAATAGGGCTTTAACATCAGTAATGAGCCCAAGGAGGAGATCTTAATTTAAATGAGGATGCGTGGAGAACCTTGATAGAGATGAAATGTTTGTGCTGAGGAAGGAGGCATAAAACGAGGCTAAGAGGACCTGTTGGGCCAGGGCCTTTCTGGAGGAGCAGACGGGGAGAAGGTCTTTTGATGGTTCTATTGTTCAAAGGCTGCCCTACAAACACCACGTCCCTCCCCACCCTCCTCAGGAAGGGCCAAGCTGGAAACTGGGTCGGACGAGCTGAGCTCGAGGCAGCGGCAGAGCTGGCACCAACCTCCCTCACCCCCGTCTGCCGCCCCTGGGGGCAGCACCGACGCCTGCGGCAGGCAGAGAACACACAAAGGAAGCCCACAGCCGTCCTCGAACCTGGGGACGCTCTGGGGAGGCGGCCAGCGTGGACCCCGAGTCTGAGCATGTCCCTCCCCTCGGGGAACAATAACCGTCGATCCCCCACCCCCACCCCCGGTCGGTTGGGCGGTCACGCGGCACAAAGGCCGGGTGGGCCCGCGCCACTATGTGATGCGCGCTCGCTCGGCGCTCTGCCGGCTAGCGGCGGAGCGGCCCGGCTGCGGGGGGGGGGGC